AGAGAGAGAGAGAGAGAGAGAGAGAGAGAGAGAGAGAGAGAGAGAGAATTAATATATATGAACTTGCACACAGCATGCTGAGCATGTAGCGCTCACGAGACAACTTTGTAGAGTCAGTTTTGCCATTCCACCTTTATGTGGGTGTCCCAGGATTCAACTCAGGTGGACCAACTTTTGAGGCAAGTACCTTTACCTGCTGAGCCATCTCAATGGTCCGTGAGTGATCTCTCTCCGTCCCTGTGCTGGCCTGTGGGCACCAGGCATGTGCTACGTGGTGCACATCCATTCCCGTAGACAAAGGACATTATTCCTCTGCTTTGTGAGTGCTGGGATAACAGGCTTTTACCCAGCAGGATGCTGAAACCTGACAGAGGGGTTTTTCTTCTTGTTCAGAATCGGGGATTTAACCTTGGGCCTCAGATACGCCAGGCCCAGTCAATCACTGAACTCTGTCTTCAGCCCTGCCCACACCCTCTCTTTTCTGAAACAAGGTCTCATGCCTTGAAGATTACTGTCTTCAACCTGAGTCCTCAAGGGTCCTGACTCTTAGCCTCTTCTTCTTTGAAGGATACCAGTCAGTCTGTTGGAGTCCACACAAGTAGCCTCATTAGATCTCTCTAAAGCAGTGCTTCCTAACACTGTTACCCTTTAATACTGTTCCTTATGTTGTGGTGATCCCCCCCCACGCACCATAAAATTATTTTTTTCTCTACTTTATAACTGTAACTTCGCTACTGTTATGAATTGTAATATAAATATCTGTAGTTTCTGATGGTCTCAGGTGACCTCTGTGGTTTCAAAGGCGTCTTGACCCACAGGGTGAAAATCATTGCTTCTATGAGTGACTCAAGCCTAAGGATGTAGTTTACTCAGAAGATTGCTTGCCTGGGATACATGAAGCCTCTGGTTCCATCCCTCAGACATGGTGGTGGGATGCTTATAACCCCAGTCTAAGATGGGCCTGGTGGTGCATGCCTATAACCCCAGCACTCACTGGAGGTAGAGGCAGGACAATCATGAGTTTAAGGCCAGCCCCAGAGACATAGCAATTTTGAGACCATCGTGGGCTGCATGGAACCCTGTCTGAAAAAAATTTGAGAAAGAAAGGAAGGAAAGAATTACAAAAGGGAAGGCTGCAGAGCTGCCTCAGGGTGGACAGCAGTGACTGCTCTGCCACAGAACTCAGTTTCAATGCCCAGCACCCAACATGGCAGTTCACAATCATCTGTCACTCCAGTCCCAGGGAATCAGATGTCCTCTTCTGGCCTCTGGGGGTACCAGGCATGCAAGTGGTACATAGGTATGAATACAGGCAGAACACCACACACATAAAAATTTAAAAATGAAATGAAAGCAAAGGTTAGAATAAACAAATAGTAATCGCTACTCTTCCAGAGGACCAGAGTTCAAATCTCAGAACACACCGTCCAGTGGCTCACAACCACCTTGTAATTCCAGCTTCAGGGGAGTCTGCCACCCTCTTCTCGACTCTTTGTACACTGAACTCATGTGCAGTAACCCATCCCCTGTTCTCCCGGCCCCACGTATGCACATCACCAAAAAAGTTTTTTTTTTTAAATAAAAATTTAAAAAGAAAAAGGAAAAGGTAGATGCTACAGTTGATACAACATTGATACAGTTTGAGGATGGAAAGATGGCTCAGCAGTCAATAGCACTGGCTACAGTGTCAGAGGTTCAATTCTCAGGAACCACAGGACAACTCACAGCTGTCTGTAACTATAGTTCCAGGGGATCCGACACCCTCACACAGACATGAGCGCAGACAAAACCCCAATGCCCATCAAATAAAATTTGAAATAAAAATGTTCATGCAGTTTCAAAACATCCCGGAGGGCACAGATAAATGGGCATGACTGTATAGTAGAAAACAGTACAGCCAGGCAGTGGTGGGCATGCCTTTAATCCCAGCACTTGGGAGGCAGAGGCAGGCGGATTTCTGAGTTCGAGGCCAGCCTGGTCTACAGAGTAAGTTCCAGGACAGCCAGGGCTACACAGAGAAACCCTGTCTCGAAAAACAAAAAAAAAAACCAAAACAAAACAAAACCAATAGAAAATTATTAGTTTTTTTCTTTTCTCCTCTCTTTTCAGTTTTATATTGGTTGATTGATTGATGGATTGCGTGTTTGTCAGGAGAGGATTGCAGAGATCAGAGGGCACCTTGGGGCAGTAAGTTCTCTCCTTCCACCACATAGGATCTGGGGACTCAAACTCAGCTTATCAGACGTTGTGGCAAGGGCCCTTACCTGCTGAGACATCCTGCTTGGCCTTCTATTTTTTGAAATGGCATTTCACATAACCCAGGCTGGCCTGAAACTCCGTATATCATAGGATGACTTCAAACTCCCAATCCTCCTGCCATTACCTCTAGGAATTCTATCTCAAGGATACTGGAATTTCAGCTATCAGCAGCCAGGTCCAGCTTTGTTTGTTTGAGATGGTTATCTTGCTATGCAGCCATGGCTAACCTGGAACTCACTGTGTAAATCTTAGGCCGGCTTCAAATTCACAACAGCCTTCCTGTCAGCCTCCTGGCCTCTCACCTTTTCAAAGGAAAAAGCTGGGGCTCAGAGAAGTTAAAGGAACTCCCTAAAATGCACAGCCTAAAAATAAAGTGGGGAAGAAAGATCTGACTGAGGTTTATAAGACTCCCTGGTCTTGGCCTAGCTTGCCTGAAGTCTCTACCCTCAGCTGTACCCTGCAGCATGCCTGTGTCCAAGATCCAGTACCTTTCTGGCGGTGAGTAACCAGCAGGACACGGCCGAACCGTCCCTGGCCGAGGAGACGCACTTCCTCGTACAGCTCCTCCACTTCCGTCCGGACCAGGGTCTGGGCACTCAGCGCCATCATGTCCTCCAAGGCCACAGCAGTCTCCTGACCCTGCTGCAGCTCCTCCACCGTGAGGCCCCCCAGGCCTTCATCACCTCCATCCTCCACAGCTCCCACTTCCATTGGCCTGTCTTCTGACTGTTTGCCAGGCATTTCTGCAAGACAGACAAAGAAAGTGACCCAGGACTCAGCACTCACTGGCCTATGACCAGGGGAGGGAAAGCAAGGAAAACAGATTCCTGGGTCTGAGGGAGGAGGGCCAGGGTCTAGGCTCGAGAGTCTGAGGGAGGAGGGCTGTAGTCTAAACTCCTGGGTCTGAGGGAGGAAGGCTGAGGCATGGACTCTGGGTCTGAAGGAGGAGGGCTGTGGTCTGCATTCCCAGGTCTGAGGGCGAAGTCTAGACCTGGACTGAGGCCTTCTCAGCGACACTTCTTATTGTGACTCATTTCCATTTAGTCAGAGACCCTGAGGAGTGGAAAACAGTCACTTGTGTGAGGCGAGGTCAACTGAGAGGTCAGATGCCCCCCCCCCATTCCCACTGCCATCTGGTGGCCTGAGGGTGAAAGACGAACCAAGTCCTCGAGACACCCCCCCAACTTGTTTCCAAAGCAAACAGACTTGGGCCTAGAGTGGATGGATGAGCAGCTCCTCTCCAAAGAGCAAACAGGTGCTCTCTGCCTCCAGGGAAGGGTGGGGCTCTACACAGCTTGAGACACCAGGGTCCTGCCTGAAGCTGTCACTTGGACGTGTCCCCAAGACTTTAACCCTCAATCATTTTGTGGTCCACGGCTCACAGCTCAGCAGCTCATCCCTAGACCCAGGGCTCTAGAGCCCAGTTCTCTTCCCAACACCCAGAGAAATAGACCCGGACCCTCCTCCTTCAAATTCAGGGCTCAGGCCCCAGCCCTCCCTCCTCGGAGCCAGGACTCCCGGCCCCATCCATCTACCCAAAGATCCAAGGTCCCAGACCTCAGCCCTCCTCCTTCAGACCCAAGCTTCCAGACTTCAGCCCTCCTCCCTCAGACCCAAGGGTTCAGCCCTCTGCCCTCTTCCCTCAGACTAGGGCTTCAAACCATAACTTATTACTGTCCCAGGAACTTCTAAAACTCACACAACTGGGGCCTTGGATTCTGTTCCCAACACTAAAGCACTCGATTGCTTCAAGGTGTCTCTTGTCCTGTCGAGAGGCCAGGACTCTTGCCACCTGTTTTCCTGTTCAACTGCAGCCTTCCCTCAGGCCAGTTAACCTTGCCCTACTTCTGACCTGGGCTCAGAGCTCCACACCTCTCCTTCTCCAAGGCTTGTCTGACCCCTTTCTGCCTACTGCAGTTAGTGCCCTGCACTTCGGGGGTTCCTGCCAGCATCAGACTGCTCAGTAGCAAGTCCCGCCCTCACTCTGGGGGGTCGTAAAGCCCCACCCTCTGCCCCGCCCCTTCTGACCCCCAACTGGGGGCAGAGCGACATCGTGTGTTGAATCCTAGAACTGGCTGTGGTTGGACCACACCAGGGGGGCTCAGCTCTCCTCCCTCGGACCCAAGGGTCCAGGAAGCTTTCTAGCACACCCAGAAGTCTAAACTCCAGCCCCGCTTACTCACGTTCAGAGTTCACATTCCAGCTTTCATTCCTCAGACAGAAGAATCTAGAATGCATCCCTCCTATCTCAGACTGGGGGTGGGGGCGTCTAGGTATAATCCTTTCTCCCTCATATCCAAGATCCCCTCCACTAGCCCTCCTCCCGCAGAACCAAGGGTCCGGGGCAGCCTTCCTCTCTCAGGCTCAGAATCCCGGGACCGAAACTGCTTTCCTCAAGCCCAGGGATCCAGCGCTCCTCCGTCTGACCCAGAGATCTTGATCCTAGCCTTCTTTCAGATCTAGGAGTGCAGCCCCTAGTCTCCTCCCTCAAAAGGTTTCATATTTTCTTTAATCTGATCCCATCTGCTCTGCTCCCTGGTTCCTGCCTCTGGAGCCCTGTTGACAAACACAAATCTTCTGAGAGGTATGTCCAGGAGCCAAGCACTGGGGTCCTGTTTAGGAACAAAATAAGGCAGGATTCTAAAATGATGTCATGAGAAATGACCTCAGACTGGGGACCAGAAACAGGTGGTGGAGCAACTGGGGATCAAGGGTGACTTTCTCCCTTTTTGTAAGACAGCTGTTGGGTTTAAAACACCGAGAACCACCACGTGGGTTCATTTCATTGCCCAAAACACGCTTTTTATTTTGTAAATATTTTTAGTTTTACAAAAACAGTTGCAAAGGTCAAACAGTTGCAGAGGTCCCCTGGACCTCTCACCCAGCTTTCCCCGAGGTCAGCATCTTACCCAAGGTTCAATGGTAAGTTAGCAAAGCTTCCAACAACAGTCACTCATCCTACCCACTGCCTTTGTCCTCAAGGTCCTTTTCTTGTTCCCAAGTCCAGTGCAGGGCACCATGGTGCATTTAGAGAATTCACTTTTAAATCTAGAAAGTGTAGACTCCTGGTTGGGGTTGCAGTTCTGACTGCAGTGTTTGTTTTCCCTGCACGAACCCTTGGAAGCTCATACCTCCAGTATTGTGTAAACTACCATCATAGCACAGGTCTGAAATCCCAGCATTTGGGAGGTGGACAAAAGGTGATCAGATGTTCAAGGTCACCCTCTGCCACCTAGTGAGAGGACATCCTGGGATACAGGAAAACTTGATTTTTTTTTTTTAAAAGTGTAAGTTCCTGTGATGTTTCTAGTTCCTGCCCTTCTGCTGGATGCCAGGGACTCCAGCCACACGGAACTGGAGTCCATGTGCTGTTTGGAAAAAAGGAAGATCGTGGAACCAGTCCTGGCTCTCAGGATTGATGGGTCCCTGAAGGTAGACGGAGCTGGGATATTCATAGCCAGAGAACTTGGGGCTTTGTGGAAACAGAAGATGGACAGGTCTAGAAGTGAGAAGACCCAAGCACATCCCAGCAGTTTGTGACAAGGACAAGTAGACATAGATGTCTGGGAGGGCTCCAGGGATGGGGGCATTTCTGTAGGCCAAGATGGAAGTAAAAGGTGCTAGGTCCAGTTTATAAGGTGCATGGGTGTCTGTTGGCAGTGCTGTGGTGGTGGTGGTGGTGGTGGTGGTGGTGTGTGTGTTTGTATGTATGTCTCTTTTGCTCTGTGTGTGTGTTGATTCCTACAGTGTCACCAACCCAGATCCAGGAAATGTCGGATAACACAATATATCGGATCCTATAAGTTCAGATTTTGTGCCTCAAATGGTGGGAATCCCCCCCACCATGGTCTTAGACAGTGGTTCTCAACCTTCCTAACGCTGTGACCCTTTAATATAGTTTCCCAACAATAAAATTGTTTCATTGCTAATTCACAACCGTAATATTGTTGCTGCTATGACTCATAATGTAAATGTGTAATACGGAGGACATCTGATATGCAGCCCCTGTGGAAAGGTTGTTCAACACACCCAAAGGGCCGTGACCCACAGGTTGAGAACCACTGCTCTTCCAGCGAGCGATTCCATCAGAATTCATGATAAGTGGTCAACGTTTCACAGTACAGAAATATATCTGTAGGAGAAACAGAAACTTTCACTGTCAAGACGCTCAGGGGTCGGGGATGAGGTCCAGTTGATAGAGGGCCTTCCTACCATGCAGGAAGCCCCAGGTTCCATCCATACCCAGCACCTCAAAAATAGTGAGAAGGTACATGCCTATAGTTCCAGCACTGGGGAGCTGGTGGCAGGAGGATCCGAAGTTCGAGGTCAGCTACATAGTTGGTTGAGGGCAGTATGGTATATCCAAGATTGTCTCAAAGGGAAAATCAGGATGAGAAAGAGGAGGGAGGAGAAGCAAAGATGATAAGAGGAGGGGAAGAGGAGGGGGAGATGGAGGAGACGGAAGAAGAGATGGAGGAGGAAGAAGAGATGGAGGAGGAAGAAGAGATGGAGGGAATGGAGGAGGAGGAAGAGAAAGAAGAGGAGGAAGAAGAAGAGGAAGAGGAGATGGAGGAAGAGATGGAGGAAGAGGAGGAGGAAGAGGAAGAAGAGGAGGAAGAAGAAGAGGAAGAGGAGATGGAGGAAGAGATGGAGGAAGAGATGGAGGAAGAGGAGGAAGAGGAAGAAGAGGAGGAAGAAGAAGAGGAAGAGGAGATGGAGGAAGAGATGGAGGAAGAGGAAGAAGAGGAGGAAGAAGAGAGAGATCAAGAGGAAAAAGAAAAGAAGAAAGAAGACAAAAAGGAAGGTGGAAAGGGGAGGAGGGGAGGAGAGGAGGAAGCTGCAGCAGCACACATTTGGGACCCCTGAGTCCTCGGATGTGTGTGTGTGTGTGCACTGCAGGGATGGGGGAAGTGTGCACATCCAAGTCCAGTGTGTTCCCTGTCTTCTCCCAGTAACAGCTGTTGGCTTTCCGGGATGGCCTCAAAGCTCCGGTTCTGACCACCAACTCAATCACCCGGTCACGAAGCTCTGTTATCTGCCTCTATCCTCCCACAATCTTTGATTTCATCTTCTTCCTCATCTGTCCACTCCTCCAAACTCGATCCTCCCTCTTCTTCCTCCCCATCTTCGTAGGATACACCCCCCAAGCTTCCAGATCCCTCTCCACTACCCTGCAGCCCCCAGTCATCCCCCAAAACATCTAGGACAGCCAGTGGAGGGCTCCTAGTCTCCGGATCCAGGTCCAGAAGTCCCTGGAGCAAGGTCAGAGCTGCAGGTGCAAACTGGTCCCAGGGTGCTGGTGGCCGAGGGGGTTGGGGCTTAGTGGTCATCCAACCGGCAAAGGCCTCAAACTCAGGGTCAGGAGCCAATGCTACATCCCAAGGGAAGCAGGCCGTGGCAGCACAGAAGAGAAGCACACCCAGGGCCCAGGAGTCCACGGCTGGCCTCAGGGGCAGTGTGTTTGGTGGCAGCAGGAGGCAGAGCTCAGGTGGTGCAGTGGGCAGAGGCACTGGGGGAGCAGGGGTCGGGCTGCCTTCAGGTCGGGTCAAACCCAGGTCACCCAGGGCTACTCTGTTGCAGTCAGGATCGAAGACGAGCACATTGTCGGGTTTTACATCTGCGTGCACTAGCCCCCGGCCATGGAGGAAGTCCAGGGCTCCAGCCAGCTGGGCTGCTACCCGCTTCACCATCAGCTCTGGGAGGCCCTAAAGTCGGGGAGAAAGGAAACAAGTCACGCTCTCTTGCTGTCTTCCTCATTTTGGACATAGCTCTTAATTCTGAAAGATTCTGACTCTTGAGGTTTGAAAGTCTAGAATCCAGAGCCCCCAAAGACACCTACCTCATATATCCACAAACATCCAAAGTTCTCTAGATTAACCACCCTCCACCCACTGACCCCCAACAGAACCTACATTTTTATTTATTTTTATTTTTTTATTTTTTTATTTTTTTGGTATTGCGAGACAGGGTTTCTCTGTGTAGCCCTGGCTGTCCTGGAACTCACTCTGTAGACCAGGCTAGCATTGAACTCAGAAATCCGCCTGCCTCTGCCTCCCAAGTGCTGGGATTAAAGGTGTGTGCCACCACTGCCCGGCCAGAACCTACTTTTAATCAGAACTTATTTCTCTGTCTGTGTCTTTCTGCATACCTCCCTGTCTCTGTCGCTTTTTGTGTGTCTCTTTGTCTCTGTCCCTGTCTCTCCTTCCCTCCCTCCTCTCTCTATTTTTACGGGGCTTTTGTTTTTGTTTTGGAGATAGAGTCTCACTATGTAGTCCAGGCTGGCCTTGAACTCATAGAGTTCCACCTGCTTCTGCCTCCCAACTGCTGGTATTAAATGTCTCAGTGAGAATCTAAACCCTCTAGTTAATCCTGACCTCAGCCCCATACTGATGTTGAACTCATCTCTAACTCAGACTATCCTCATATCGGTCTGTCCTACTGTCAGCTAGGCCTCTATCCAGCATCCACTCCATGTCCACCCTGCACAGGCAGCAATGCAACTCTCCTGTCATCATATCTAACACCCACCTCTCATCCTCCTTGGCTTCCTTCTTGTCTTTCTTATCATCTTATACACCCAGTCACCCATCCATTATCCATCCATCCATCCACCATCCATCCACCATCCATCCATCCACCATCCATCCATCCACCATCCATCCACCATCCATCCACCATCCATCATCCATCCATCCATCCATCCATCCATCCATCCATCCATCCATCCACCCAGCTAGTCATACTGACGTCCATACCACCAGCCATCCATACAACCACCTAGCCATAGATGCATTCAAGCATACATCCATCTGTCCATCCATATGCTTACCTAACCATGCATCATGCATCCGTCCAGCTATCGAGGTAGCCATCCGTGCAGTCATCTCTTTATCCATCCATGCATCCACACATCTGTCACCCATCCAGGAATTGATCCACCGGTACATCAATC